ACAAACATCAGGCCCAAAGACCAAAAACATAAGAAAATGCCACACGGATATACAAAGAATCAACTACTATCATTAATAATAACAGTGGAATACTATGCAGAAGAAAGAAAGGAGCTCCTACTCTTCATGACAGTGTGGATGGGACTAGAGAGCATTATGCTAAGTGAAATAAGCCAGGTGGTGAAAGACAAATACCATACGATCTCACCTGTAAGTGGAATTTAATCAACAAAACAAACAAGCAAGCAAAATATAACGAGAAATTGAAATTAAGAACAAACGAACAGTAACCAGAGGGCAGGAGGGAGGGAAATAATGGGGGATAGAAGGGAAAGGTTCATCAAAGAACACGTATAAAGGACCTATGGATAAAACCAAAGGGGGGTAAGATTGAAAGTGGTGCTGGGGAAAAGGAGACAACTGTATTCGAACATTAATAAAAATGATAAAAAGATAATAATTACTATTATAGCTATTATCATGATGATGCACTGATAGTTCACTTGGGTTTAATGTAAAATACATTAACTAGAAAGAACCATGGGTAAACTTACTATACTCTTTAAAAGGCAGTTTATATTTTAGGTTTATATAAAATGAGTTACATAATCCAAAGCCACATGTAAGAAAAAAAATGCAGGAGGAAGGCTTATTTCAGTTTTGTGTTGTCAATATCAATCTTAAAATAATGATGGTCTGGTTACCTGTTTTAAAATATGGGTATTGTGAGATATGATAAAATATCCTTATAGCTTTAAAATACTATAGTGGCTAGATTCTACCTATCTTGGAATGCCTGTCTCAGTGTCATTACATTCATTCTCAGACTTTTGAGGACATTCCAATGATGATAATGCCAGGCCATCATAAAGGAGAAACAGAATTGATCAGAAAACTGAGGGGACAAAATAAGAAATAGAAAGAAAAAAAGAGTTTGTATTGTTTATACCATTTAGTCTGACAAATTTTACAAATGCTTTCTGTTTGCTTTGAGTAGTTTATTGTCTATGTTACTTCTGTGTTTTCTTTCTTTCTTCCCCCCATGTGCTTGCCTCTACCAAATTTGGCTCAAAATATTTTGTATGTGTCTGTACTGTAAAACTCTCATATTTTTCTAGAGATTTAGTGTGGTGGAGTAGCTCCTTTTTTTCCTTCGCCAAGGCTTAGACACATCAATATTCTACCTACTCACTTTCGAGGCCAATGGAAAATGTGTTCCTAAGATTAAATAGACCTGAGTAACACATAAATTCAGTTTATACTGATGTATTATGTTACATACTTACTCACACCCTGAATTACTGATGAGTGGAATACACCTGTTGGATAACACACAGCTACTGAACAGTCACTAACCTGCAATTTGCAGACAGAGAGGTAGGGAAAAACCTGAACTGGAGGCTCTCTACTGAGAGCTAACTTGCATAGAGCATTCCTCACTGCTGGAGCTCTGAGTGTAAAGAATCCAGTCTAGCCATGGAAAGCTGGCTCATACAGGGTTCTTGAAGTGTTTGTAGAAAAATCAAGAACATACATACAGGCACATGGGGAGGCCCCTTTGTCCTGTAATACACCATCTACTTCTGTTCCCACTTCCCAAACATAGCACTTAAAAAAATTACCCAGCCCTGGCTGGTGTGGCTTAGTGGATTAAGTGCCAGCCTGGGAACCAAAGGATTATAGGTTTGATTCCCAGTCAGGGCACATGTCCGGGTTGCTGGTCAGGTCCCCAGTTGGGGCATGTGAGAGGCAATCACACCTTGATGTTTCTCTCCCTCTCTTTTTCCCACCTTCCCACTTTCTCTAAAAATAAATAAATAAAACCCTAAAAAATGTATAAGAAACTTATAAAACTCAACACCAAATAAACAATCCAGTTAAGAACCGGCAAAAGACGTGAATAGACATTTCTCTAAAGAGGACATACAAGATGCCCAATGTCACTAATCATCAGAGAAAAGCAAATTAAAACCACAATGAGATATGAACTCACAACTGTCATAATGGCTATCATTAGTAAATCAATAAACAACAAGTGTTGCCCTGGCTAGCATAGCTCAGTGGATTGAGTGCGGGCTGCGAACCAAAGTGTTGCAGGTTCGATTCCCAGTCAGGGTACATACCTGGGTTGCAGGCCATGACCCCCAGCAACTGCACATTGATGGTTCTCTCTCTCTTTCTATCTCCCTCCCTTCCCTCTCTAAAAATAAATAAGTAAAATTAAAAACAAAAACAAAAACCAAAAAAGCAAGTGTTGGTGAGTAAAAATTACAAACTTTTAAATCTAGTGTTACATTTAGTTTAAGTAGGTTCATAATATTTATCTAGTATGGGTTTGCTGAAACCACACTGCACTTCTAACTAGTCAGAGGACCATGTTTTCCTTTTACTTTAGATACAGAATTGCATATAATACAGCACATATCAAATAATGAGCATAATCAATAGATCTGATTAGATCTGGCATGCAAATTACTGTCCTATATCTAAGTCAAATAAAGAAAGTGTCCCCTCCCCACAACATAATAGTTCCTCCAAGAAACCTAGCCAAATCTGTGAAATGTCTCTCTAGTAAACCAAATTGCCCTTTGGCTTACAGATGTGTTGAAGAATATTATAAAACTAATGAGTTCTTATGATTAATTGTTCCATTTTGGAAAATATGATAAGAGTATACTCATAAGAAAAATACTCCTATATATAATAATTATAACTATTTATCTAAATGTTTTTTAATATTAACATATAAAAAATCATGATGGGCCTGAAATTTGATGAACTAAATGTTATGCTGTCTGGGGTTTGCTTCAGAATAACATGGTGGTAGCCTGGGAAAATGATGGGTCATGAGTTAATCATTGTATGAGCTGGGTAAACAGGTGTACTGGAGTTCAATGTAGTAAATCTGTCTACATTAATATATTTTAAATTCCTCATAATAAAATTTTAGAAATATATACTGATCTGAACTTTTATTCATTTACTCATTTATTGGTTGATTCATTTACTCATTGTATGCAAGATATGGAAATATAGTAAGTAAAAGAAAAGACAAAAACAAAACAATGCTCTTATTGAACATTTAGGTTAAGTAAGCTATTCTTCTTCAATAGTATATACTTATTTAAAATAATATTTATAAAAACTGTGTAATTACATGTAGAATTCTTAGGTTATATTTTGAAAGCAGGACACAAAATTATATAGAAGATATGTCCTTAGGGGAACATGAGAGTAAGGACATATATCAAATGGTTATTGATGATTAGATTTAAATTATGGAAATAATTACTTTAATTTTTCTTTATTTTACTACTATGTGTTTTTCCAAGTTATTTTTAATGAGCATGTATCATTTTAAAATTAAAATAAATATTCATTCATGGATAAGATGTGCTGTCCTTTCCCAAGCAGCTTTTCATGTACTAAAACAGAGAAACTGCAAACACACAGCACTTCCCTGATTACTTTAAATCTTCATACCTAGAAAGGAAATACACCCACAGGAAAAGAAACATCAATACAGATTTTATCTGATCATAGAAACATAAAGAGCTTTCTGTGTGCTGGATAGGAATAGGGGAGGAATTGGCTTCTTTACAAGCCAGAGTGTGAAATTCAGGCCATTTTGTGATGAGATCATTGGGAGCCACAAATTAAAGTTACCAAATAAGCCTGTTCCCTGAGCTACTGACGCTCATACTGATAGGAGTTTCTTTTTGTGCAGTATAAAAAGTAAAGCATGGGAGGGGGTGAGGAAGAAGGGGTAGTTACAACTTTAAAGCTTGTGGCCTTCACTGGTGAGATGGATTTGTTCAGAGAGGCAGAGATAGATGTGCAAGAGAACTAGAGACAAAAATATAGTGACAACTATGGATTATGTGCAATGGATATGGAAAGTCCCTGTTAGAAAGCTATCTTTATTATCTCAAGAGATTATTTTCCTCATTTTATGCACATTCATATAAAGTGAAGTCAAGAGAGTAACTTTTAAAGGTTTGGATGAATATGATGCTCATGACTAAACAGGCTTGACTGGAGCCAGGCAGAATCTTGTCAGATGCCAGGCAAGTCACCCCTTCCCTGCCGCTCCCTCTCTAGTATATTTACCAGTGCATTTCAATGCAGGCCAGCCTCTCGCAAACTAGGCTCTTTCAGGCTGTGTCTGACTACATGATAATCTACCAGTATACCCTCAGCCTTGACCTGCACCCTCCTTCTAGCCACTGAAATCTCAAGAATTCTAGAAGGCCACAATACTAACCTTTTTGAAACTTCACACATTCTCACTAAAAGACACATAGACCTCAAAGTTTCAAACTTATGTTCACTTGCAGCCCTGGTCTTCGTCCTTTCATTTAACTGGTAAAGGCAGGGGGTTGGGGTTTCATGTTCCTAAATGACATGTTCCCCTGCTGTTTGTTGGTGTACATACATGGAATCATACCTAATTTTAAGATTAATCCAAATGAAGCAAGTGTATTTCTCCTTTGCAGCATGTTATAGAATAATAATAGGTATTTCAAAGCATCACAAAATGTTTGGAGGGTTGTGTGTGTGTTCGTTTGATGCCAAAACATCTAGCATTCCATGTGGGAGATGTCAGCACCAACTTCCCCATATCACCCTCTTTTGTGCACACAGGTATCACCTTTGCCAATACATACTGTGGGTCTTAGGAGATCCAAACAAATCCTTTGAATGCTTCTACTTCTGTGTGGCAAAATCATTGTAAAATAGCTGTCAAAAATCTGTGAGAATATGTCCTTGGAATCATAGTTTCTTGCCATTCTAAATGATGATATTTTAAATGAATAAATAGGATATGAAATCTATATGTTTTACCAATAATGCTAAAATATGTTCTGCTCAAAATTTGCTTTTGCAGTGGTAGAGTCACTGCACCTTTAGGTCTAATTCTTTCTGAGGTTGGGAGAAATATACTTGACTCTTTACACACTAGTTTGGACTGACGTTTAGAGATAATGGAAGTTACTTACCAGGCAGCAATGTCGTGAGAGGAATATTCAGTTAGTGATGGTGAATCAGCCTGAAATGAAAAGAGTACCATAAATGCTAGGTATTTAGTATGTGTATGACAACATGGCAATCATGCAAAAGTATCCATTTACTTTTCTCTTGGGGACACCGACATGGTGATATTATATAAAAAGTAAGGGATGCTTCCCTTTAGGAACGAAGATACAACTGTACTCTGAGAAAGCAGCTCCTGGAACTGCCTGCATGTTTAACTTTAAGGGCTCTAACCAGTTGTGAATGACTTGCCACCCATTTCTGCAATTCACTGTAACTTGTCTTGGGAAAGTTATGTTTTATGGTTAATTATCCATGGTCTGTTTAAAAAAATAAATCAAACCATTGTGAACCACCAGATTTGCAGCTCCATTTGAACTTTACTGTACTTTTGCTTAAACATTTTATAAATAAAAACAAACTGGTTTTTCCTTCTTTTTGGTTGTTTGCTCTTTATGTTCTAGATATAAATATTGTGGCAATGGTTGGAGAACAAGCTATGGATTATTTACCCCTGATTTCATGAGTTGTGAGTTACTGGTCTTATCCTCCTTCATGAGTGTAAGTGAATGTATGGTATTATATCCCGAGTCCTGTAACAAAGGGAATGAGTGAACTGAAACCTTTTGAAACCAAACCCTTTTAGGCTAAGTCACAGAGCAACAAAACAAACCCCAAATTAACATTTAAAGAGTTTCTAGTGTGAAACAACAAAATCCCCCAAAACTATATAATCTGCATTTTAAAAATGCTTGCCTAACAAGCAGCAATCTATCAATAATTCCACATGCTTGTCTTTTCACTACTTTATAATTTAGAAGCCATACGTGGTTTATACCAGCAGATCATCTCCCACCCCCAATATTATCACCAGAATGAAGCTTTGAAAATAACGAGCATAACTCACTTATACCAAAATTTATTTAGGAAGATCAGGAATTACTATAGCTAAAATGAAATACTAGAGAGAAGAACTCCACATGAAATTCATCTGTAGTTATCATCCTTGGACTTATATAAATAAAATAAGCCTAAAATATAATTGACCAGAAAAAAAATGAGAAAAGCTAAGATTCAAAGGACCCTATGGCAGAGTGCAAGGGGAGTATATCTGAGATCCAGAATCATAACTAATACATTTGCATATTAAACTTAATGAGAATCACCAAAGAAGCTTGCCAAAATTTATGTTTTTTAAATGACCCAATGGTCTATGCAGCACTGAGTACCTCTTGGAAAAATATAAAATTGCCTTCTGCAATTTGCTACTTTCATAAAGACAGAGACAGGATAATAAGGGCTTTCTTATAAAACGATCAGTCCATTTCTGATGCTTGAAGAGCTCTGTATCCTCTTTCATCTTACCCCTTTATTATTCACACGGCTTGCTGCTGCTTACCTGCAAAGCACCATGAGAGAAAGGACACAGCAGCTCCCCTCACCAGCTTACCAAAGTATGGCAAAACATCTGTGAAGCAGCTACTATGTGCCAGACACAACTAGAGTGATTCTGTTGAGAGGGTAAGTCAGTGACTGAGGTTCTTGTTGCAACATTTAAAAGTATCTATTACTACTGCCAACAGCAACTAGAAGCAAGGTTGAAATAGTTGTGAAGGACTTTTGAAAAATTGGAAAGTATTTAAAACCCTCCCTAGCTTCTTGCATGCCCAGGAAATAGAAAGTTTAGGCCTGCCAGTCCTTCCTAAGCCTGGATACCATATTGCAAAAGAAAAACCACAAGTAATCTATACATTCCCAGGGCCACGGTTACAACTCAAAATGAGGGTTGAAATGAATTAGTTGGCATCTATTGGACATTGAAAGGTCAAGTCTGTCTTAAATATGGTTCAGAGAGTATAAAAATCCATCAAGATGAAAATGGGAACTCTTCTTACAGTCTGAAGCAGGAAAAAAATTCAAAGATGTTTTACTCAAAGACATTTTCCTTTATTTCTTTCATAACCAGATGCTTCTACCTATTTTTGACAACCAAGAAAATGCTACTGTATGGAGTTCTAAGTTTTCCTTTAAATCTGGGCAATCTATTTGAAAGTCAGGGTACTCTAAATGACTTCCATTTGAAAATCAGGGTACTCTAAATGACTTCCTATATACAGAACTACACACCAAGCACTACACAGAAGTGCTTGGTTACAGATGATAAATGTTAAAATTATATTACAAAGAATATATTTTATATGGTTCAGAATTCATTTTGATATTCAAGAACATACATAGGAAACTGTATATTAGAATCCAAACTTAACTATAACCCGATGCAGAGGGATACTTAGAAAAAATATACCTGTGAATATGATTACCTGGTTAAAGATTAGAATATTCTGACCTATATTCACTATTTTTCAATATATTTTTCTGAGCTTTAGATTCTTTTAAGAAAGAAAATGTATTTATAAAGTACTTAAGCAAATGTATTTATAAAGTACTTAAAATAATACTAGCTTAGTAATTATTCACATTTAAGACAACAGAAGGTGTCTCCATGTCATCAGAAATAGAGACACCACAGTCCCCATGACCTTGATCACATAGTTTTTAACAACAGAAAGCCACATGCTCAGACAACAAAACCTGAAAAAACAGACAAAACTCTCCTGACTTTGATTTTTATCTTTATGCACTAGATTTTTCCATACAAAAGAAATCCTAAATTCTAACACATAAGAGAAAGTTGAACAGACCACAAAAGAACCTGACTCTTTTTTAAAATACTAAAGGAAACTTACCTCTTACCTTCAGTAAAATCAAATAAACCAATTTTATATGACATTACCATCCAGAGATAAAGCATGGCCTAAAGGTCCCACATACAAGGAGGTGAAGTACCTCAACAGTTCCTGCTCAGATCCATCCTCGCTTCTGCCTACTTTCATCTTTTCTAATTGCACTGATAACACTTAGAATTACCACTGCACAGCTCACAGAGGGGCTCTAACTTCCTTCTAGCAGATAACTAATAACGCCTAGTGCCATGCTCTCATCACTCTGTATCCATTTTATAAGCATTTAGAGGCAGAAACAGAAAAGGAAGAACAAAACCAAACTCAAAATCCCTCCAACCTCCCTGGTCAGACAAATGCTTGGTTCCCAGAGGACATCAGTCAGTTAAGTGAAGCAAAATATTATAACTGGAAAGGAAGACAGATCAATTTCATACAAATTTCACTGTGTTCCTACTTAAGCTGGGGGAGTTACTCCAATGAAAAAGTTGGTGGGTGTGGGAAAGGAGTGAAGGCTACAAAGGGGCGGGAGTGTTTATTATATATTTGGGACTTAAAGGCATACAGCAAGTAAACAGTATTCCAGGGAGTAGTGTGACAGAAAGTTCTAAATGAGAATTCCAGAAAGTCGAGTCTCTTCAATAGAACTACTGTTTAGGGAATGTGTTCTATAGGGACTTTGAATTGACTCTGCTGTAGCATCTACAGCTGTTTTCTCTTTCACTAGGACTTTGGTGTTTGGATATATTTTGTCATGAGCAAAAACAAAACAAAACAAAACAAAACAAAACAAAACATTAGAGCTTTGTACAGCCCCAAAAGTCAGAAGCAAAAGATAGGGATTATGTAACTGGCTTTTTACATAAATATTACATCAGGATACATTTCAAATAAAAACACACACATACACACACAGCTGCCTTCCTTATCCTCTTTCAATTTTAAAATTCATTTTGTGCTTTAAATGCTGTTAATTTTCATAAAATAAGTAAAAACCAAGTCAGCATTAAACACCTCTGAATAATTTTAGTTTTATATTACCTGAAAAATACACCATATCAAAGAGGGTCACAAAATCCTGTTTTAAAGCCAGTTAAGGCACTGAGTATTATGGGATGTTTGGCTGCAGCCTAGGGCAACTAGAAATGGCCATGGATATTAACTAACTCCTTTTCAACAGTCTGAGAAAGGGGGAATAAAAACACTGTAAGTTTCCCCATCTGCTATTTTCTTTTCTTTTTTTTTTTCCTTTTTGGCTGTGGAAAAGTAAAATTATGCAAGAGCTTTTGAATGTAAAGGCTGTGTATGCTTTTTCCCTTTTTGTCTCTGTGTACCCAGTTACATGATGTTGCGTAACTGAGTACTGAGTAGGCGGTTAGCATTTACTATTGATTTACACTATGCCATCTAATGAATTCAAAACACTAAAAAGAAAGGAGTGGGAGAGGGAGGGAGGAAAAAGAGAGAGGAACAGGGAGAGGAGAAAAAAGGAGGAACAGAGAGGGGAGAGAGAAAGAGCTCATTTAGAGAAATAATTCTAATGCCTGGAATAGTTTTATTCTTATTCCCTTTAGCTCTGACTTTTGGTTATTGTTCAGGTTTCAGAAAAATGGGCTTGAGCCAGTGACCCCAAAATTCCAATCTTATACATAATGAGGATCACTGGCAGGTGAATGTCTGAAAGTACTAATGTGTCAGATTACTTGATAGCAATTTCACTAAACCTGTCAGACTTCTCCATATGCACCTATTTATCATTCTCCCTATGCTTTCATAAATCTGTACTTCAGAGAGCCAATGCTATGGTCCAACTAGTTTACCTAATCACGACTATTATTTGCAAGGCACAAAATGGCAAACAGAAATATGTTCCATTTTTACCCATCTCCTTTAAAAATGCATAAAGAATGCATTCAGAAATCTTTGAATAGGTCACTATTTAGGGAAAAAAAAGCAACAAATTAGTGGGCTAAATAGAACGCCCAATACAAGATAATGAAAAAAATGGGCAAAATAAGGAAAGATTCTAAACTGATAAATAATGCTTGTAAAAAAATTTAAATAACTTTTCATATTATGCCCATGGAGAAGAGTTAAATTTTAACTTTTGATCTGGATGATTATAGACATTCCCAGTTCCCCGCAGCCGCTCAGTGCTTCCCACGCACCCGGTTCCCACAGCTGAGGCCAGAGAGTAAGGCTTGATTCTGCTGCTATGCACAGGGCCTTCCTGTTCCTCAGTGCCCCCCTATAGCTGAAAACAACCACTAAGGTG